AACCTTACAAAATATTGATAATTATATAGTTATTATAATTCTCAAAGATAAATTATTTTATGAGTCATTTCTTTGCAAATTAGAATTAATACTTAGAATGTTAACTCAAAATAATTGTAAAATCTTTAACTTGTTCTTGAACTTTTACGAGTTTGATGGGTTATGGGCAAGAGGCCGGGCAGTGAATAGTCTTTTCTTTTTTTTCATGATAATTGTTACCTTTTTGCAAATTAGTTTCTCTTTGGAAACTTATAATATGAAGAACACAATGTACTGTGATATATTTTTAACGTTAAAATATATCTGGAATGTATATTTTCAAGGATAGCATTTTGTTTGAATTAAACTAATCCTCATAAATGAACTTATTAACAAATATATATATATATATATATATATATATATATATATATATATATATATATATATATATATATAGTTAGATTTGAAGGAAAGAAGAAAGAAGAACTTGAGAAAAAGTTATTCTCATTCAAAAAACTGATTGATAGATCAGGAAAACATACAAAGGGGATATAATCTGAATTCAAAATAAAACTACCAAAATAACATAAAATATCCCTATACTATCAAGACATTTACAGTTAATATAAAAATATTAGTCTAACACCCCCCTCAAGCTGGAGGATAGGAAAGTAGCCCCAGATTGCCGATAGCATTCTTGTGATTTGTTCCGGATAAAGCTTTCGTGAACACATCTGCGTGTTGATTAGTAGTGGAGACATGAGTTAAAGATATTAAGCCTGCTTGTAGTTTTTCTCGCACAAAATGACAGTCCAATTCGATGTGTTTTGTTCTCTCGTGGAAAACAGGGTTTTTGGCAATGTAAATTGTTGCCAAGTTGTCGCATTTTAAGGGAATGGGAGTGATGTCAGGTACACCAATCTCAGTGAGAAGACGGGCTATCCATGCCAATTCTGAACATACCCTTCACATAGATCGATACTCTGCTTCCGATGAAGATAATGAAACAGTGTTTTGCTTTTTGGAATTCCAAGAGATTGGACAATCACCAAACATGATAAAAAAACCACTGACAGATTTTCTTGTGATTGGGCAAGCAGCCCAATCAGAGTCACAGTAGGCCTCTACTTTGAAAGATGAATCTGAATTAAAAAATAATCCTTGAGTTGAAGTGCCATGCAGGTATTGTAAAACATGAATAGCAGCATCATAGTGAGATTGCAAAGATTTTGGTTGAATTGGCTCAAGTGTTGAACTGAGAAAGACAAATCAGGTCTTGTGTGTAAAAGAAAATTTAGTTTACCTATGAGTTGTCTATAAATGGAAGCATCCGGTAGAGGATCGGGCATGTTAGATAGGAGTTGTGGTTTCTGTGGTAGTGGCATGGTGACTGTTTTTGAACTGTGAATTGAATACAGATCCAGTAACTCTTTGATGTATTTTTGTTGATGAATAACCATACCTTTGTCAGTCTTTTGAAACTCCAGACCTAAGAAGAAACTGAGTTGGCCAAGGTCTTTTTGTTGGATAAGGTGTCTAAGTCCATAACTATTTCTGGTATGTACTTGACCCGACCCGGCATGGTCCATTTGGGTTGCATGGCACCATGCAATTGGATAGACTAAATGAGAGAAATAACACTTGGAGATTATTAATATATTATAAGTTCTAATATATTAATAATATTATTTGATTAGTTTGATCAAGAATTAATTTAGAATTAATTATGTGATCAAAAGATAACTAATTAAATATATGGGTTGATTATGTAAATCATCCATATCTTGTATAGTGGGCTAAGAGGCTCCATGGATTATCAAGTTGGGTTCCACCCATAGGATGCTCCATGGATGCTCCATGGGAGTTACAAACCCATGGGTCATGGAAATGAAGAGTCATGACACATTAGGGTTTACATGGTGTAACCTTAGATGTGTCAACACTATATAAGAAACATATTCTCCACCAAAATCGGTTACACTAAGAAACAAGAGGGCTTGGCCGATTTTTGAGAAGTGTGTGTTCTCTCATAAGTTCTTCCAAGAGCATTTGGTGTTGTGTGAAGCATTTGAGGCATCACACTTGGGGTGCTAGGCTCACAAGGTTTCAAGGAACACAAACAACAAGGTAAGTTATTCTATCTATACTTTAAGTTAAAATTGTTCCCCATGTATGCTAGATAGGAATATAACCTTGGAATTCAACTTTGCATGATAATTAGACAAACATAGATCCAAGGTTATTAGGGTTGCATGTACACTTAGGAAGTGTTAGAATGCTCAAAACCCATCAGTGGTATCAGAGACTAGGCTTGTTTGTTTTTTTATTAACTACAAGAAAAAGACCCTTTCACGACGCGCAAATCACGACGCTCACTGATTTATGTTACGCAAATAAGAGTGACAATAAAAACGTGTCGTCTATTCAAAAAATTTGAGTGTTTAGGTCACGCATTATTACGTGCCCTTAAATTAGTGTCTAATGTAAAAAAAAAAAAAAAAAAAAAAAAAAAAAAAAAAAAAAAAACGGAGGGCACTTTATCTAAAATGTGCACCCTCTGTGATTGTCGCTTTATGATTTTTACTAAAACGCGCGTTCTTGTAAGGGGGAAAGGAAATCCCCTCAAAATTCTTAAAAATTTTAATACCCCGCTTCAAGATCCCCTTCGTTCTATTCTTCCCTTTTCTCTGCAAACCCTAATCACGATACCATCTCTGTTGTATGCCTCAACAATTCATATATCAGAAAATCATTGGGATAATTTCTAGGGCTTTTTTAAACACTCATTCGACTCTTTTCTCTCCCGTCTCCCCTGTCTCTCTATTTTGTGCTCTGATATCCCCCTTCCATTTATGCTGCCATCTTGGTCGCCATCAAAACGAGGATATGAGACAGTGCTTGATCTACGATCGTCCAGTCGCCGATGCCCGGTTAATAGGAGTTGAAAACATCATAACATAAAAACTGTTCTTAACCTTGCCGGACTCAGAAAAGCCGATGTGGCACATCCACGAGTATGAGGTGAAGAGCGACGTCCTTTTCCTTCCAGGCGTCCTTGGTCCGGTTGAGCGGCAAGATCGGGAGAAAGCGCCGAAAACTTACGGGAAGACGATTCACTTTTTTGGTAGGTGGATAGAGGCGATCAACTTCCCCTAGGTCTCCCACAGGTAATGATGGCTCTAATTCGTGATGGCTTTACCCTAATCTCGCTAAAGGTACAATTTACATTTCCTAATTTCCGCCATTTTTGATCACCTGCAACTTATGTAGAAACTCTATCGATCGATTATTATTACATATTTGGAGTCTCGCTATGGTGTTTTGTTCAAAAAGGAAAGGGATAACAGAGCGTATATGGAAGGCTTATCCCAAGGAATTCACTCAAAAGCACACGCTGATGGTGTTGGACTCAAAACTATTGTACGAGATATCAATTTGCATTGCTTGGAGACCTGGCAAGGGTAATTTGGGAATATAGTCATCCAATTTCATTACGCCTAGTTGTTAACAATGGTTTATGTTAACTATATATTAACTTTTTTTTGGTGTTTTTTGTTTAGTAGGTTTGTCCAACTCATTTGCACCCACGCCTAGCTGAGTTTCTTGAGGTTGCTGCTAAGTAACTGGTATGGCGACAAGTATCAGTTATCTTTTTTATAAGTGTCAAATGTCCTTTATTTATTTATTTGTTATTGTTTCTCATCTGAATCATTTGATACGACCCATGTTGGTTGTTTTGGTCAAGTATATCGACGAAGGGATAATCATCAAGATTCAAGAAAGAATTTTTAAATGTTTTCCTTTTATTTAGCTTTCCTTTTAATTAGAATAGTAGTTTTTTTATTTAGTTTAGAATTCCTATTTTTTAGGATCTGGTTTTGGATTATGATTAGGTTAATACGACTATATAATTAATGTTCTAGGGATAAATCACGTTTTATGCTGGAATAAAAGTCTTAGACGATTTGCTGGAGAATTCCCTGTTTCTCGAACTACAGGAGGCCTGGTTAAGGTTCCTACCTGCGGGTTAGGATCTTGAACCTATTAATTGGTATCAAAGCTGTTACGGTTCTGGTGTCAACATGTCAAAAACAAATTATGAGAAGATGGATGGATTGGAGGCAGGTGTTGCAGCCCTGGAGCAGGATCTTACCAAGCTTCGAGAGGAAGCTGACCTCGCCAAGAAGGAGAATGCTGCACAATTCACAGAAGTCCTGCAAGCTATCAATAACTTGACGAAAACTGTCAAGGGGAAACTCATTCAAGAGGAGGAGAAGGACAAGGAAGATCCTAAATTTGAGCTCGAGTTTGGATCCTTCAAAAAGGGACCCAAGGACGATAAGAACAAGGGTGGGGGTCGACAAATGGGAGAATTTCAGAAGATTAAAGCTCCTATTTTCGAAGGGGAAGACGCGTTTGGATGGATTTATAAGGTGGAGCGTTTCTTTGAGATCCAAGACATTGGAGTACGTGATCGTTTGAAGGCAGCAGCGATTTGCTTGGACGGCAAAGGGCTGGCTTGGTTTCGTTGGAGTCAAGCAAGGGACCCATTCCGCTCTTGGGAGGATTTAAAAGAATGGTTGTTGGAGCGATTCCAGTTAACAGGTGAAGGCAATATCTATCATCAGTTTATCGCCATCCGACAAGAAGGAACTGTACGTGACTACGTAAGCAATTTTGAGAGACTGTCATGTCAGTTGGGAGACATACCAGAAAGCGTGTTGGAAGGTACCTTCATTAATGGTCTCAAGGATGACACACGTTCGGCCGTTCGTATTTTACAGCCAGCAAACTTGGCAAGAGCCATGACTCTTGCTGTTATGATAGATGAAAACAAGTTCAGTATCGGCACACCCAAGACTATTGGAGGGGTAATTCGGTCCAACAACAGCGGGTCTAGTCGACCAGGTGGAGCTTCTACCAACATGGGTTCTATCATCATCTAGTATTTTTTGATGTTATTTGTGAAGGGCTTAATAAGTCACTTTATATAGTGCAATCACCCTGTGTAGACATGCATGAGTTTGTCCTCAGCTTGTATCACCTCACATGGAGCATTTCATGCAAGCATGGCATATTGCTATAGCCATGTAAGTCCCAAAATTTTTACAACTTCAACCTCATTTCCTTTTTCTTAGAATTTTTACTTAAAACAGCATTTGACAATACTTAAATTTCTTAATGTCAACAAAATTCGGGATGACATTCAAAAGGAGGATGCTTTTAGAGGTCTCTGTGCAATGGTATGCATCTGCTTTTGTTTGGTTTAGACTTTTGATTTGATTTGAAGCAGAAACTTACTTATGTTTTTTTGGTTTGCAGGTGAAAGTGAACACATCAGTGGATTTAAGTTCACTTGTTTTCTTATGTAGAGCCATTTCTAGTTGGCATGTAAGTTTTTCATTTCAACTATTCTTCAACACACACACACACAGAGTATATATACACGTGTCAACACCATTTCAGCATGCACACCTGATTTTTAGAGGCTAGTCAATAGTCATGGTCTGGGGTAAAATTGAAGAAATCAAGTAAACACACAGTATATATACACGTGTCAAAATAGAAGCTTTTCTGAATTCCATTTTGTTTTCAGTAAGTGTTCCAGTTTTATCAGAAAACACATAACAAATTTGACCTAAATCTTCATTTATACTTAAGGATCTCCATAGAAACCTTGAGTTTGTACTGCTATCATACATGTGTTTATCTTCTATCATGAAATAAGATTGACCTAATCGAACCAATTCCATGGTGATGTATAAAGATATAAGAATCATGATTTGAAACACAATAACAGAACTCAAAAACGCAAAAAAACGTCTCCATTGGAATCCCATAGTATTTATACGGTTTTCCTGGAAACTTTCCCTTTATAAGATAGCCCTTTCTGTAATAAGGAATCATATCAATTGCATCCTGATGACTCATCAGCCATAAACACATCCCAATAGCAACAACAAGACACAATATGAATAGAAAAACAGATAACCAGATAGTTTCTGAGTTCATTGCTTGTTCAAGTCTGCTTCTTTTTGAAGGGGAAATTGCACTATTTAGCATAGCTTTTGTCTCTTGTCCAGCATACACAACAACACCTATAACCCATTTTGTGTTTTTCATCTGACACCCACGTAAGATAATGTTTGATTGACTAAGGGAAACTTTATGACCATTTAACTCTATTAGCTGTGAACTCATATATGTTTCTATTAGGTTGTTCACATCTAATTACCCCTGATATTGACCCTAATGGCATTAAGGATGTTTCTTGTCTAGCATAACGCGTCTTTAAATTTGACTCTCCATCTAAATTCATGGTTTGTATGTAAGCAATGCCACTAGGATCACTTATCCACATTAGCACCATGTCACAAAGGATTGTCACAAGAGATTCTTTGTTGTTCTCATTTCTGTCTGATCTGTGTCTTCTCCAATCCTCGTATCCATCTTTTATAGCAGTTACTGTGAGAATAAAAAGGAGAGGGAAGAGAGAGAGACTGTTCTTCCAAAGACTACAAGAGGAGGAAGCTGATTGAGAGTTGCAATGGCTAAAAAGTATATGTAAGCCACTTGATGAAACTGAATGAAGAGATTCTTGGGTTGGAAGTTTATAAGTGTGTATTTGCTAGTGGTGATCTTGTTTCCTGCTGAAAGTGGGTTGGTCTCCAAATGGCGGCCTAAGGACCGGGTAATCTCACTACAAATAAAACGACATTTAGTGGCACAGAAAAAGTGTCACTAAAAACCGAAAAAGTGCCACTAAATCCCCCCCGGATAATCAGCGGCACAAAAAAAAAGTGTCACTAAAAATGCTACCACTAAAGGCCTTTAGTGGCAATTTTTGGTTGTGCCGCTGCAACTTTATTGAGCTTTAATGGCACTTTTCTATTATGCCACTAAAATATTTGTAGGATTTAGTGACACTATTTTGATGCCACTATTTTATTCTAAAATTAAATATTATTTCTATGCTTTTTATGGAATTTTTTAACACAATTATATTAACAAATTAGGTCTCAATTTTTTTAATTTTAAAGGTAATATAAAATAATAATAAGAGAACTTAGATAATGAATGAAATCATAATACCATTAAGTAAATTCAAACTTGTCTAACAAAAATACTATCAATAACTAATTTATAATACAAATGTCTTCAAAAAGATTTAATAAATATAAATGTTGTACTAATACTAACAACATAATACTATCGAACTAAAACTTTTTAGGGAATAAACACAAAACTTGATTCACATCTCTTCTTTTGTTTCTGAATGATACCTACATAACAAATGAATAAAATTAGATCAATAAGACTTTTGAATAAAAACAAGACATGCAAAATTAATAAAACGCTTACCACCCTTCCATAGCTTGTTAAAGAGGGCTCTGAGGGTATAAAGCATGTAATATGATTAGTGTTGCTGTTCTTGTAATTGTGATCATTCGTTGCTAATACAGCTATGCATTTGAAATCAGAGGCTATGATTTGTTGGGTTGTTATTGGTAGTGTATTTCTTTATAGTTAGCTCTAAAATGATGTTTTTTAACTGTAGATGAAAACAGGATGTGTTGCTCTTGTTTTATGTTTGAATATTAGTGTGGACTCACCCGATGTTATAAAGATTTCACCTTGTGCCAGGATTATAAGCAGACTACAGTTAAGTTAATTCATTGTCTTTGTGCTGAAACATGTTATAATCAATTAATCATTACAAAATTATATATGAGAATAAGTGTGGTTATATTGATTATTAAAAAGATATGAAAAGAACATGGACTGGCTCTTGTCCAAAAGACCTGAATGCCCTCCTCAAAAAAAGCTTAGCCTAATTGGAGTGTTATAAAGATTTAAAAATGTAGCAATAGATAAGGTTGTACAGTTTTCATATTATTAGGACTGTGCAGATATGTTGGGCATTTTCTATCTATTTGGAAGCTGTTGCTATTCTCCCATAGTTGGTTCTGCTGCAGCGAAGTGGAAATGTTGACAATTTGATCGGTCAATATGTTTTCTTTCTTGGGTATTCTCCCTTCTATATTTTGGCATGATATCATTATGAAGCTGGATAACCATGAAAAATGGTTTTTTAAATGATCAAAAATAGTATAATAATCATTTAGAAAATAGGATGCTATGAATGAAAATCTGTTTGTTTGCATTGTATTGTTAGGGCATATCGTGCATTGAATATTCTCAACTGGATTTGTCGGTATCTCACACAGCCCCATTTCAATGGATGGATATGTAAGTTAAAGCTTTTCTCTTATTCTTATTATCTATACATGTATTTCATTTGACTTTTTTGTTTGTTTGTTTGTTTGTTTGTTTTCAGCCTGTTTCTCTAGCTTAATACAAACAGCTCTTTATGCTGATTTCTTCTACTATTACTTCATAAGGTACTCAACCTCCATTCCCATTCTTTACTCTTCGCCTGGGTGGCAGTGGGACAAAATTTACAATTTTCCAGATTGAATAAGACTACTACTAAATTACATGACCATGACCATGACCATGACCATGACCATTTAATACTTGCTTTCAATAAACCAAGTTTCATAATATTTATTCAGATCAAATGAATATTTTTAGGAAGAAAGACAAATAGGTGAAAAGTTAATAAGTCTAAGACATGATTTTTGGTTATTATTCTTTCTCATTCTATACATAATAACTTCTTAGCACATTCCTCTTCCTTCGCTTATTATTAGCTAAACCTAATCAAATACAGTAGTTTCTTATTCTCATCTCATGTGTATGTGTACGTACAATTGGAAAAGCAATTCCAAGCTTCAATTTCTAGCATGAGCATCACCTACCTGGCTTGGCGTTTGAAGCTTCAATTACCAGCATGAGCATCACCAAGCTCCAATTCCCTTTCTACCTTTCACTTGCAGGTTGATGATTTGTCAAGAATGTTCAGACTATTTTCCAAGAATACCCCATGGATTGGATCCTGTCTCTTGTATGTTTAAAAAGGTTTTGTGATTTAGGAGTTGGATTCTATTTTTTTAAAAGTAGCATGCAGTTATTTGTATTTGTTGTCATTTGTTTTTATCTTTTTGACGCAATGCAGCATGTTGCCGCTGAAGGCACAACCTTGGTCAAACAGGCAGAAGATGCTGCAAGTAATAACATATTGCAGGTTGATCCTGGTACATAGCCAATAATGATCTTTAGGGTCTGCTAGAAGGATTGGAGATTGCAGTTAAGATTCTATCTAAGACTTCACGCCAAGGACTTGATGAATTTAAGCTAGCAATGTTTTACTTGATTTGGACATGAACCCTAAGATATCATATTTTGGCATGGCTAGAAGCTTTGGAGGAAACGAGACTCAAGCAAAAGTAAACACACAGAGAGTTGTTGGCACATAGTAAGCTAGATAATGCACTTGTATATAAATGAGCTCATTTTTTTTATAACATTTACTCACTATTGGAATAATTATTTGTATTTGACATACTAGTGAAATGAATTATCTTTGTTATTTATGGTATTTTATTTTGTATTATGATATTTTTAATGTATTATTTAATTTGACAATTAGTAAATCTATAAATAATACTTTTTTTAAACATTCAAAATTATGATACGCAAAAATGTGTGTCATCTTCATTTATGACATGGCCTTTCTTGACAGGGGCTTTCTTGATACGCATTGCGTGTCATTAACACGCGCATCGTAAGGTTACGACACGCGAACGCGTGTCGTCTTCCTTTATGACAGGGCCTTCCTTGATACGCATTGTGTGTCGTAAATGCGCGTCGTAAATGCACGTCGTCTATAGACGACGCGCAAAAGTGTGTCGTCTTCCTTTATGACAGGGCCTTCCTTGACGCGCATTTGCACGTCGTCTGAGCCTTTTACAACGCGCAATGAGCGTCGTAAAAGGCTGTTTTTCTAGTAGATATTTGTGCTTAAAAGTTGAAAAAAAGTCGAAAATCTTGCTGTCTGCGAGTGGACTCGTCGAGTCTATAGAGGGGACTCGTTGAGTTCATGTGTATCTTCAACCAACTCGGCGAGTGAATTCATGCACTCGGCGAGTAGGGTCGACTGATTGCAGAATTTCGATTTAGTTGCTGGAAATAAATTAGAAACATTACCCTAAACTGTTTTGGTAATTGAAAACTTGTTTTTGGTGGTGTAATGTCTTTGCTAATTCATTTACAACAACTAGTTATCAAAATTACAAAGTTTTAAGTGTAATTTATGAATGTGTTCATATTCATGTTCTTGTTCTTATGATGTTTTAGATGATCATAGGAATTATTTGTAACCTATGTGGTAGATTAATTCTTGATCATAATGTGTTTTAATGGAGTCCATAACTTGTCCTCAAGTTATGGAAAACCAAGAGTCACACTTGAATTAAAACCATTAAAACAAACACAAGAGTTAGAAAAATGAAGAGTCTTCATTTTATTACTCTATTAAACTCATAAGTTACAAGAAATGAAAAGTTTTGAAAGTTACAAAACTTGCCCTCAAGTTTTGGAACAAGTAAAGTTAAGTTAAAACTTTAAGTTCCAACCCCTAGAATTTTAAAAGTTAAAATTCAACCCTTATACTTATATTATGATGATTTAATAATTATATATATATGTATAAGAATAAAGTCGTCTTACCGCTAGTACGCCTCATTCACGAAGCCGGTCTATAAGGTGGGTATAAGGTTGTTGCCTATAAAATGGTGACTTAATGGGTGTCTACTCTCACCCACCGCTTGCTTGACTGGTGGAGGGTCGTTAGCCGAACGGGTAAGACAAGGACTTATAAACTCTCATTCAAAGTATGATGTATATTATAAAGTAACTAAATGTTTTATTAAATTCCCAATCTTAGTTACTTTAGGAAAATGTGAATAAGGTGCTAATCCATGAAATTACACTTTACACTTTGTCTAAGTCGTTGGTGGAGCGTGTGTGGTTAACCGGCACACTAACTTGGACTTAACAAGGTAGGTAAAGGGTGACTTAAGGTTTATTATAGTATCGGTGGAGCGTGTGTGGTTTACCGGCACATCGATTGAGTTATAAACTTTAAGGGTACCAAGTGATTTGCATGGTTACTTCACACCTCGTTTTGTGATCCTCGGTATCCCAGTCACAAAACTTGGAGGGCACTCTCGAGATTGAAACATGCCTTTGAAAAGTTCATTGAATCTCAAAGAATCTAGGAATTTCTAAAAACCAATAAAACCTAATATCTAATATTTCGGTTTTCGTGGTGGAAATTGGTGAATCGTTATTCACCTACCTTTCAAATATGGTATAGCTTAGATTACGGTATACCTCTTCTAAGTTATATTATATTGTGATTGGATCCTAGCCTTAATATTACATTTGGGTGTTTTATTAAGGACTCTCTTAAATCTATACTAAACTTGTTCTCCTCTTTCAGATGTCTTCAAATAATGCTTCTGGCTCGAATCCCAATGGCTCCTTTACTCTTATGAGTTTGTGTGGGAAAGTCACCTTTGATGGATCCAACTTCAATGAATGGATCAGAAACATCAGGATGATTACCCGCTACGAGGACAAAGAATATGTCCTTGACAAGGAGCTTAAGGAGATTGATGAGACCACTGCAACTCCTCAGGAGATCGCTGACTTTCAGGCACATGAAAGGGATGCTACGAAAGTAGCATGCATCATGATGGCCACAATGACAGCAGAACTCCAAAAGTCCTATGAGGATTTCTACCCTTATGAAATGCACCAAGATTTGATGGAAAGATACCATCAAAGTGCACGACAAGAGAGGTACGAAATCATCTGCTCCATGATAACAACCATGATGAAGGACGGGGATTCCGTCACGAGCCACATGCAGAAAATGCAAAGGTATGTGGATCGATTGCTGAAACTTAATGTGAACCTCCCTGAGGAGCTTGCAATAGATATAATTTTGCGCTCCTTACCATCGTGCTATGATCAATTCCGCATGACATATCACATGAATAAGGAAGAGGTCACTCTCAGCAAACTTCAGGGACTTCTCAAGACTGCAGAAACAGGTCTTAAGGGGAAGTCGGTTGCTATCACTCCTACTCCAAACTCAACTCCGGTTTTGGCAATCGGGAAAAGTCGAGGGAGGAAGAGAAAGAGATCTTCGAAGGGTACCAAGGCTCGGACCCTTGATGGCTCTTCTTCAAGTGGAACCAAGAAAGGTTTCATTACTCCTTCTTCTGACCCAAAAGAGGCTGAATGCTTCTATTGCCATGAAAAAGCTCATTGGAAGCGGAACTGCCCAAAGTACCAGCAGGATGTGAAGGATGGGAAAGTCAAACCCAACCATGCAGGTATTTACACTATCATTTCTAATAACTCACCCCATTCAAATCTTGGGTCCTTGATACCGGTTGTGGTATTCATATTTGTTGTGACTTGCAGGGACTAAGAAGAAGTGAGGATGTGGAGCAAGGAAGAATAAACTTGATCATGGGGAACAGGAAAGCTTCACCTGTCACCAAGATTGGAGTTTATACTTTATCGCTAAGTAGTGGGTTTAGTTTAGATTTGAATAAGTGTTGTTACTCGCCAGGAATGGCAAGAAATATTATTTCCTTTCATGCTTTGTACAAACAAGGGTTTACCTTTTCGTTTAATAATGAAGTTGGTTCTATTGATGCTTTCTTTAATAATGTTCTTTATTTTAAAGCATTACCTTGTGATGGTGTGTATGAAGCTGTGTCTGTTGTAGATAACTTAGGAAATAATGTTTTGTGTATTGATTCTACTAATAATAATAACTTGGATAAAGCATCATTATGGCATTGTCGTCTTGGACATATAAGCAAGAAACGCATAGGCCAACTCCAAAAGGATGGAGTCTTGGAGTCGTTTGACCTAAAGTCAAATGATAGTTGCGAATCATGCTTACTTGGAAAAATGACAAAGTCACCCTTCACAGGCTCGTGTGAAAGGGGTGAAGGTTTGTTGGACCTTATACACACGGATGTGTGTGGACCATTCAAACATGCCACAAGGGATGCTAATCGTTATTATTTGACTTTTACTGATGATTACAGTAGATATGGATATGTCTACTTAATCAAGCATAAGTCAGAACTTTCGAGAAGTTTAAGGAATTTAAACAGGAAGTCGAGAATCAATTGGGCAGGAACATTAAGATGCTTCGATCCGATCGGGTGGTGAGTATCTTAGTTCAGAGTTCCTCGACTATCTAAGGGAATGTGGGATTGTCTCACAATTGACACCTCCCAGGACACCGCAGTTGAATGGTGTGGCTGAGAGGCGTAATCGAACCTTGTTGGACATGGTTCGTTCCATGATGAGTCGAGCTTCGCTACCAATCTCATTCTGGGGGTATGCCTTAGAGACTGCCGCCCATATCCTTAATCTAGTCCTACAAAGAAAGTTGCCAAAACTCCTCACGAGATGTGGACTGGTAAAGTACCTAAACTAGACCACATCAAGATTTGGGGTTGCGAGGCTTTCGTGAGACGCGAGACTCATGATAAGCTCGAACCCCGAAGCGAGAGGTGTATTTTCATCGGCTACCCACAACAATCCTTTGGTTACCTCTTCTACAGACCTAGTGACAATGTGGTCTTTGTAGCAAGAAGAGGAGTCTTTCGAGAAAGAGAGTTTATAAGCCAAGGAGACAGTGGGAGGCAAATTGATCTTGAAGAAATTCAAGAGTCAAGTGGTGATGGAACTTCAAACTCTAGCCCTCAACTTGAGGAGGAAACTCCTGTTGAGCCAATTGACGAATCTGTACCTCTGAGGCGTTCCACGAGAGTTAGGAGTGCACCTGAGCATTACTATGGATTCCATATTACTGCAGAAGGTGAGACACTTATTAGTGATGGAACACTAGTAAGTCAAGATGACCCTAACAGCTACGAGGAAGCCATGGCAGGCCCCGAGTCTGCTAAATGGAAAGAGGCTATGGATAGCGAGATACAATCCATGCATGACAATCAAGTTTGGAACTTGGTTGAAAATGTACC